TATAGAGATGAAAGAAGATGTCCATCTGCAGATATAATGGACATAATGAATATAGCTATGAGTCATAGAAGATAAAGATTGAATAGTAGATTCGATTTTTTTATTCCCACATATTTTTATTAATATTCTTTCAGAATGTATTTCTAAATTAAAGCCGCTTTCATCTGTATTATAAATTGATCCTGTACCGATTACATCAATATGTGGTTTAACCTGTCTCACAAATTCCTCTGCACTTTGACGTATTGTTACACCAGCTGTATGAGAAGATTGGATTTTAAAACTTGTTATTTTACGTGATACAATGTAATGTGTTTTTTTTAAATTCCATATCCACCAATTTCTTGCTTTAAATGAAGGAAAGTCTATTTGTTCTTTCTTTGTAATGCCCATTTTTGCAAATCTATGTCGTGAATGATAAATCTTCTATCTGTTATAGCCCGAAAAGGCTATACACGAATTAATAGATATATAGTATTTTAGAGATATTATTTTATACGATAAGATATTGCTCAACGTGTAACGCGAATACAGATCACGTTACGAACGTTGACCGAGCGAAGCGCTGACAACGCGAGCCACGCACGAAGCCCGAGCGACCGCGCAATCACTCATTACGAAAACGCGGAAATCAAGGCAAGCGGAATAAGGGCGTTGCGAAAATGCAACGTAGAGATCCTACCTAAAAGCGAAAAGGAAATTGCGAAAAAGCAAGCAAAGAAGTCCCTTAGAACTCCTAGCTTGCATCCGGATCTTGCCGCCAAAATCGAGCGACACGACACATGGCCTTTTCGCTAACCGATCCCCTCCTGGGAAACCAAGGGAAGATAATAAAAAGACCCATCGCTAACGATCGGCGGGCAGTCTTTATCATCAATCAATATTACGCGGGCAGCCAATAACGCCTTACGGGAAACTATTAAGTTAACGCCACGCAGTCGGCAGAAATAAATACATAAGATCGAGAAGTGAGTTTCGCGACCGAAACTCAACTCCAGACACGCGCACGCCAAGATATCCGATATCGCGATACGCGACGCGAGAGACGTGCGAAAACTTTGTAATTAAGCCAAGTTACGAATAAAATAGTTATATATATATTTATTCCGAATACAAAGGTGTCATTTTTATTTCTAATAAAATCAGTGAGTTACTCGGTCGGAGCCCGAATTCCCAAATTCCTTCCGGCAAACGATCCTAACTACCGTGCCTCTCCGGAGGCATAACATATCAATAGCTTCCTGGAATTGCGTTAGTACATATTCGGCAATAAATACAAGTTTGTCCCTGTTTAACTCTCCGCGCAATACATTTTCTTCCCATCTATGCAATTGCGAAACAGATTTTACCTAGAAGAAAAGAAGTCTGATATTTAAAAAATCTAATTCAAAAATAAAAAAGATTAATAAACTAACGCAGATAAACATAGATAAACGAATGCAGATATGCGATATAAGTAATATAAGTCTGAAACATCTTTCTGTTTTTGTTATCGTTTACCTACTATTTATACACAACGCACATCTACCTGCTCGTTCAGCTCATATTATTTTTCTTATGTTTGAATTAAATTTTGCCTTTCTAAAACGATTTAGTACAGCAGTAATAGATAAGTGTCTTTTTTTTCACTTGTTATGCCTCTCCGGGTACAACGGGATTTTAGGGGATGGTCCAAGAGTTCGGTTCGTTTTAGGAGTTGGGACTCCGAGTGTCAAGAAACATGAGACAAAGTTTCCGTGTTATAATAATTTATTTGTACAGCTTACGTGTCTTTACAATTCGGCATGGTGATGTATAATATTGGCGCTTGCGGTATCTCATTGTTTGTGTATACGCGTCACCACTTAGATTCGGAGTACGGCCACACAAGTACTCGTTGCTTTTCCATTTAGGATCCAAAAGTAGATGAATTTTCGATAATAGATCGCGATGTCATAATTGAATGTTGCAACGAATTGCATATCTTGCATCTAATCGCGGTTTCGGTTTCGGAATAGCTTATGAAGTGCTAATTTTGAGCTATGCTCCTTTTTACTTTTTTAGATCGTAGTTACGTTATTGAATTTCGAGTTACGACATCCCTCCCCGTTGGAGAAGAAAACGGAAAGGTAGTGACGTTTTCTATCTCTGTGAGACTCCGTTTATGATTGTTTCTTATTCTGCGTGATATATTTTGTTTATAATTTCTTTTGACTCACCATAATATTATTACTATGATACTTATTATAAGTATTACAACTCGTTAAGTTGTTTAATTACAATATTTAAAGAGACGCATGAAATGTAAAAAATGATTTAGCAAGTAATATATCAAGGAGAGTTCTAACCCAGGTTCTCTGAGGGGGGTGAGGGGCAAAGGGAAACCGGCGCGGGGGTATGACGTCACGCGGGGGGACCGCGTCCTACGATGCCGCGAGTAGGTGTGAGAGAGATAGCGCGAGACGTCCGCAATGTGTAAGAGAAGGATAGCGCCAATGATATTCTATGAGCGTGGGAGAAGGATAGCGCGAGGCGTCCATATGAGCGTAAGACAAGGATAGGGTTTGCATGCACGTTGGAGAGAGATGGCGCGAGGCATGCACTTGGGAGATGGATAGCGCGAAGGATGCACTTGGGAGAGAGAGAGAGGGATAGCGCGAAGCATGCACTTGGGAGAAAGAGAAAGAGAGATAGCGCGAGGCATGCACTTGGGAGAGGGATAGCGCGAAGGATGCACTTGGGAGAGAGAGAGAGAGATAGCGCGAAGCATGCACGCGGATGATACGGCGTTCGCAAGGTGGTGTGAGAGAGATAGCGCGAGGCATGCACGCATGTAGAAAAAGGATAGCGTCCGTATTAGCGTGGGAAAAGGATGACGTTCGCATGCATGTGGGAGAGAGAGAGACAGCGCGAGATAGAATTTATTGAGAAATGTAACTCGGAGGCTCGTCCCACGATTCTTACATCACATAGGGTTCCTCATAGGGTTCGAGCCCGAAGAGACGTCTTAGGTCTAAATGAAGACCGTCCGGGCCATTATCCTCCCATACGTCCTCGAGGAACTCGCGCTCGTGCCGGCGCAGCGCTCGTACAAATTGCCGGCGTTCAATATTGACAAATCTAGGGATCTGGATGTCGCTCGTATATCGATACTATAAATTAAATTAAATCAAATTATAATATACTATACATAGTAAATGTAACAAAATAAAAAATGCTACTTACTCTCTGGTATACTACTAAATTCAATAGGGCTCTTAGCAGCCCCATCACTAGATCGTGAGCCCACCACGACGCGTTCGATCGACCCCCTTGCAATACCAATTCAATCAATGACGGCATTTTAACGTTCACTTGGAACACACATAATGGACTTCTTCTCTATTCGCTGTCAGACACTTTGTGACGGACACAACGGGATAGACATTGTCTCGAACATTTTAGAGTAGGGGATGAATCACTTACGAAGAACGCTTACTCTCAACTCCTGACAAGAAAACAAAAGGTAGCACGTTCCCGCGGACAATTGTCTACAAGTCTTTTAAATATAAATAATATATTATTATAATATGTAAACCACTATCGAACGGCTATTGAGCAACTATCGAACGGCTATCGAACGGCTTTGAACGACAAAACAATTATTTATACACCATTCAAATATTTATACACCATTCAAATATTTATACACCATTCAAATATTTATACACCATTCAAATATTTATACACCATTCAAATATTTATACACCATTCAAATATTTATACACCATTCAAATATTTATACACCATTCAAATATTTATACACCATTCAAATATTTATACACCATTCAAATATTTATACACCATTCAAATATTTATACACCATTCAAATATTTATACACCATTCAAATATTTATACACCATTCAAATATTTATACACCATTCAAATATTTATACACCATTCAAATATTTATACACCATTCAAATATTTATACACCATTCAAATATTTATACACCATTCAAATATTTATACACCATTCAAATATTTATACACCATTCAAATATTTATACACCATTCAAATATTTATACACCATTCAAATATTTATACACCATTCAAATATTTATACACCATTCAAATATTTATACACCATTCAAATATTTATACACCATTCAAATATTTATACACCATTCAAATATTTATACACCATTCAAATATTTATACACCATTCAAATATTTAAAGTCTATGTGCATGTACTGAAATGTAACATCTGTAGTCTGATAAGGTGGTTGACGCCGCTATCTACTGTCACGTACTGAAATTTAATACTCGCAAACTGGGATAAGAAAGAGGAAAAGGGAAGAATAAAAGAGAATAAAATATATTTTAACAATAGTTTATTCTAAAAAATGTTTGGGTGATTCTTTATGATGATTCGTCCACCAATTGAATATTTTAAATACATTTTGTAAAGCGCAATTTTTTAAATGTTTTTCACAGCGCATAGTATTAATAAGATGTAGCTTATTTAACGAAGTGATATCTTCATAGTCCGCATCCAAGGTCTTAATAATAACGTTGTTTCTCGCATCATCGTCAAGTATATCGGCCAGCCATTCTCGTTTTTCGTGTCCTGTAACGTACACGATAGGAGATGCTCCATTATCCTCTTCCGCCGCACTCATTACAGCTCTCGTAATCAAACGCCTGGCGAAGCTGTAGGGAACGTTTCCATCCTCCCATTGAAGTCCATGGTGATGTCCAATTAGCCATGAAGCTTGGCATCTCTCAGATCTTGTAAGCGCACGCCATGATACGGGTCTTGCAAAAAAGTAGTGAGAAAAAACAAATCCATTTCTCAAAATCGTTACTTCCTTCACGACAAAGTTTCTCCCGATAATGAATCCTTGCAGATCCGCAAACGTTGGCGCGATCATGCTGATAATATTACTGTACGATTGCAAGAACGATGTACGACTGCTGTCGATCGTCAAAATCTCAATCTTTATATATTTTTGACATTGGAGGGGATATTTGCTGATTTAGGTAATTTTACGAACTACGTTGGTCAATGGGCAATATTCGACAACGCGATCGTGCAAGATGAGACAATAGGCGGTGGTATTTGCTGGTATATCCTCCTTGCACTCAAACTCTAATCTCACGTCCACGGTGGAATTTTTGACAGACTCGTTTTGTCGCGAGCAGTCGATAACCGCGAGAGGACCGCAATGTAGAAATTTTGAAATGTTTAATAGCACATCATTATTATCACATCCGTAATAAGATTTGCGAAAACGAGAGTACATATCGATCAAGAGGGCGAATCTATTTTTATCGAAATCTAAATTCAAATCATCGTAGGGATAAAATTCCGAGTTTAGATAGAGTTTAACGTTGGTCAATTTGCAGTCGTCGAATGTAGTAATATCTTTTGACACAGCATTTTTTCTGCCAGTCTGCAGCGCATAGATCACGTATCGCGGCTTCTCCAATTGAGAGGCGGCTTTCACAGTCCACGAATGCTTACTCGTATTATGCAATAGAGGAAATTCGTATAGATCCCAAGAGCGAAAACATCTTTGACGACGTGACATGCGATAAGCAAGATACGATAAGAGAGACTTTGCAATGGGTCGACACTCGAGCGTCGACTGTTTCTATCTTTGTCAAACGTATGCCATCTTTTAATATATTGAGAAATTGGTCAGGTTACGACACTAAAAACTTCTATTCCAAATCAATCAAAACGTAAGCGAATGAAATAATTATCAAATGTGGTTACTTCTACTCCGATAAAAGATGTACAATCAAGTCAAATATTGTACGAAAGATCGTCTCCGTATGTGGAAGAAATTTTCGAAACCACGCATGTAACGGGAGCGGTGCACTTGGACACAGTACAATTGGACACGGTGCAAATGGACACAATACAAATGGACACGAGATTTGCACACGGTTCAATTGTACACAGTGCATTTGGACACAGTAATTTTGGATACAGTAGCTTTTGGACACGTAAGAAAATACGCATCGTTTACTTGGACACCGCTCACTTGGACACTGTTCATTTGGATACCATTTATTTGGACATTCTTTATTTGAACACAGAAAGACGCGCATCGTACATTTGGACACCGTTCATTTGCCCACCGTTCGTTTGGACACCGTTGAAAAAAAAGCTGGAGGAGAAATAAACATACCGCGCGCTATGGCGTTAAACGATAATAAGATCGATTATGTGCATTGGAATGATCCCAACGAGTTGGTAGATCGCTTGCGATTGCTGGAAGCTTCGCGTTAAGCCGGCAACAATGCCTACGACAATGAAATATTATCAATTATCGAGGAACTTTACGAAGCTGGCCTTATTATAAATTAATCTATGCGTCGGCGAAACGAGTTAGTCTGTCATTATTGTTTGTATCGAAATGTCGATTAATAAATTTGGATTATCGATGGGAACAACTCATACTATCAATGGAATGGATTACTAAGAAATTACGTGCGCGATAACGCTCTGTGTCAGACAGCCTCCGGCTTTGACGCAAGGTCGCGCAAGAAACGACGGGTAGCGCAACCGGAAGATGGTACTGATGCCGCAAACAAACAGTACGTGGAAATACGTGTCAAGCTTTTGGAGGACAGACAGGAAGAACTTGAGAAAAAAATAATTACGTTCGAGACGAATGTGCAAACGCTGCAAATAATGATGGATGAGATGCAGAAAATGCTTCGGTATGCAACTCATGCGCAGACTACATCTAATTCAGCGCAGGAGAAGAAAGATATATAAAGAATATACGTGGAGGAATTATCTCATTATTGCAAATTATGCCTCGATCAAATATGTCGCAAAAGACATCTGAAAAACAGCTGCTCGTGGAAGAATTGCATGCTCCAGCGAGAAAAAAATTTTCTACGTAGACGTGTCATAGTACACAGATACGACGATCTGTGGCAGGCGGACGTAGTCGAGATGCGTCCATATGCACGATTCAACAAAGGCTACAACTACATACTCACAGTTATAGCCAAGTTTTTTTAATTAAATTTTTTTTATATTATTTTATTTGTATTGAACTTATTTTGAAAATCAGGTTTCTGTTAATAAAAATAAAATGCGTTTTAATTTTATGGAGAGAATCTGTCTATAACATTTCTATAAATACAATTGTAAGTATAATTGTATAATTGATTTTATGACAAATATTATTACAAATTACAAATCCTCATAAACTGAACTGCTTCTCACAATAAATACTTGGCTAGTTAACTATTGATTTCATATTTAGTTTTTATTTTTTACGGGTATTTTATTTTTCTAGAAGAAAATTTTTTATAAGTTATTTTTTAGATATGTACTTGCGTATTTTTTTTACCTTTGTGAGGTTTATATACAGGGTGTACAAATATTGTCGAAACCTCTTAATATCTCGGAAAATATGCATTTTCGAAAAAAATGTTTCATACAAATGTTATAGGGTTTTATGTGGCGCATTATATAGCAATATTATTATGAATAGCGTTGTCAAGGTCACATGAAGGTCACTTTTAATTTCTTAAATGGCAACCTTTATTTTGGTATTTTATTTTTCTAGAAGAAAATTTTTTATAAGTTATTTTTTAGATATGTACTTGCGTATTTTTTTACCTTTGTGAGGTTTATATACAGGGTGTACAAATATTGTCGAAACCTCTTAATATCTCGGAAAATATGCATTTTCGAAAAAAATGTTTCATACAAATGTTATAGGGTTTTATGTGGCGCATTATATAGCAATATTATTATGAATAGCGTTGTCAAGGTCACATGAAGGTCACTTTTAATTTCTTAAATGGCAACCTTTATTTTTCTTTGCATATTTTTGTAGCTTACCTCGAGAGCTTTTCAATACACTATAATAAAACATTTTTTCGTTAAGTATTTTTCGAGTTATTTTATATTTTAATCTGACATATTTTGGTATAAAAAATAAAATATCTCGTAAAATATTTAGTTTTCGATAATCTTACCGTAATACTTTTATGTACAAAATAATGAGACAAATTAATTGGTGTTAAAAAATTGTAACGGTAGGGCCGTTACTAAAGCCTCGCGGACCAAACACGTCCGCAAAGAGGCTGGCGCATAGCGCCATCTTTAGAAACCCAAACATAATTTCAGCCGTTCCGCCGCGGCGGCCGTTTCGACGGCTTCCCCACTACGCGATGCGAGAGAGCGTGAGGGAACCGCCGGTCAGGTATATATGCCAGCCCGGCACAGCACACGCTATCAGTCCCGGTCCCGATCCTTGGGACGCAAAAAGCTTCAGAGCGCTCTCAGAGTCTCTCCAGCAAACCGAATCCTGATACCGCTCCTTTTACCTGGTCTAGGGGACAAGTGCTCTCGTCCTCGGCCGAGTGCTCTCGGCGTCCAGTTCTGTCGGTGCAAGAGAGTGCTCTCACTTGCGTCAACCACCTCCGGTCCGGGGGATGAGTGCTCTCGTACCCTGTCGAGTGCTCTCTCCTGCTTGCAGCGAGGAGCGCTCTCCTCGTTGTTTCCGCTCCCGGAACCCGCGATAGACCACGATCGCAAGCCACCAGCCCGAGTTGTCAACCGACCGTTTGTCCGCCTAGCATATAATACCGTGTCTTGTTTATGGTTGATCACCAGTCGAATCTTGTCCGCCTAGTATATCATACCGAGTCTTATTCACGGTTAATTGTCAGTTGAGTCTCGTCCGCCTAGTATATAAGACTGCGTCTTGTTCACGGTTAATGATCAATCGAGTTTTGTCCGCTTAATATATAAGACCGCGTCTTTTTCACGGTTAATTGTTAATCGAGTCTTGTCCGCCTGGGATATCATACCGAGTCTTGTCCACGGTTAATTGTCAGTCGAGTCTTGTCCGCCTAGTCAGTAAGTCGTGTATCGTTCGACTAGCCTTTAAGAGCGTGTCCTGCTACGGCCGCACCATATCACTACGCGCTAGTCTTTGTCAGGATAAGCTGCAAAGAGCACTGGCGCCTAGTCCTTCTCAGGATAAGACGCACAGACAGTGCTAGAAAATTGAAATCACCAAGCGACCACGCGACACCCCGTAGTAGCTAAGTCTTGTACGAATATATCTCAATATAATAAACGTTATTTTGTTATTATGTCGACGTGTGAATTGCGAGCCTGTCTCCCCTTCCCCCGAACCATGACACCGACAAGCCGATCCGTGGCGTCGAGAAAGGCGAACCGTTACAAAATAATTGTTTTTAAGAAAAAGTATGTAATTATTTACAATGTATTTTTTTAAACAAATATTTGTTTCGAAACCTGGCAACTATTGTCTGAAACGTTTTTTCCAATCTTTTTTACGTTAAGAGATATTGAGCTGCATCACTTAAAATGATACATCCTGTATATAGGGTGACTCGCAATAACCGCCCACTAAGTACATAGCGTTATTCCTTACCAAAAACTGAGACGAAAAGTCATGAACCATTTTTCTTTATAACGTTTAATAAAGGAGTTATTATTGAGGAAATTCTGACCAATCAGCGCCGACCTTTAGTTGTGCGTGCGTGCGTGCGTGCGTGCGTGCTTCCTGTCTATGCATGTACTTTGATATATTCCAAACTTTTTTTGTTAATAACTTTTTAATAAGCAACGAGCGACGATTAAATTAGAAGAAAAAGTTACTCAGAATTATGTCCTTGACAACATATATCAAGGTCAAGGTTATTGGGGCTGGGTCCCATTTTTGCTATATTTCCGAAAATTATTTCTATTATTACGATGCATGAGTGTTTAAAATTGAAACATTAAATTGGAGTGTCTAAAGTTCACCGGCGAGCGTCGCCGTTATATTCCAACAATTACCTCGAAAAACAAAACACGAGCGAGAACAAACAGCGTCGCGGTCACCCGCTCGGTGCGTGATCGCGTTATGATACTCGCCAACTATATCTTTCGCGCTGCTGTTTCTCATCTCGCTCGTGTTGCGTACGCTTCATTTCGAGTTTCTCACAATCTTTATCGTTTCGTTCGCTCGTGTCGCATACGCTCGTCATTCTCTCACAGCACATTCTTGTACATTCCCATTTGACATTCTCGCGTGCACTCGAGCGTAAAATCTTGGTGAGAAGCGCCTCAATTCTATACATTGTTACTCGCTGAATATTCATAATTGTGATTGTGAAGAAAGCGGAGTCCGAGAGTCGACGCCTTGTCACCGTATCGCGTATGTCCTCTGCCTCGCGTCAAGATCCATCCGACGTCCGCGTGCGAGATATCCGTTATCGCGAGGATTTCTAACAAGAAATTCTTCAAGATTTCCGTACCGCGGAGAAGGGCAGTCACTTATAGGACATCTCAAGATTTCCGATCGGAATCACGGAACACGGGCTGTCATTCGCTCCCATTATTAACTAATAAACGCTTGTTTAACCAACGTCACGCGAGTATTTTCTTTCTAATCACCTTATCCTCCAGCGAATCTACGGATTCACGCTACACGTAGTTTCTCGCTCACCTCTGAGCGTTTCTCTCTTTAGATTCGGGCGATCTTGTCGAGGTCGACTCCCGAACAATAAGAATATTCTATGCTAGCGGCGGAGCGCTCAC